GATGGATTTGAATGTTGTCGATCAATCTTTCCAGTTCCTGCTCAATCGCCATTTGTCCCAATAACCCCCTACGAATGGATTTGAATGTTGTGGATCAATCTTTCCAGTTCATGCTCAATCTCCATTTGTCCCAATAACCCCCTACGAATGGATTTGAATGTTGATGTTGCAGCTGTAATTATCCAGTGTCTTCAGAGGTTTCAGGAATTTTGAGAAACGCAGTAGGTATAATAAAATTCATTTATTCACTGTTAATGCCTTTGCATCTCCTGGGGAAGGTTTCAGGCACAACTTGCTGTTGTATCAAAATTCAGAAATGAGACTACATTACTTGCTAACTCTAGTTTATTCATCTCCAGCCTTGTCACCATCCCTGCTCCTTAAAGGTGCTACTACTGAATTCAAATAATCCTGTGAAAAAGCTCCATCAATTGTTCCTGTTGCATTCAGCAGTTTCCAGACAGTACTGTACTTGTGAAATAGCTGCATGGTATCACACTGTGTGATTTTCCAGCATAAAAGTATCTGCTTTGTACTGCTTTCTCTCTAACAGAGACAGTTCAGTCAGTCAGTTGTGAGAAATAGACAGTTACATTAAGGCACAGAAACCAGACTAAATGTGTTCACAGTGTAAACCACAAATTGAATCATGGGTGCATCCCACAAACGTTGACACAGAGAGTGCGTGTAGATGCACAAACTGAAGCACGTGAGAGTCAATATGAGAGGCTGCCGATCTAAATTTCAAGAAATAGAATTTTAAGTGGTCCTGAAAGGACAGCTGAAAGAAATCCTTGAAGAAACTGTATCTTAAAAACATTAAAACATTTTGTTTCTATTTTGATAAAAAAAAGAATTACCTGTGTCCAGAGGTCAGTTGTTTTTCATCTTCTCCTTCCAAATTGGCAGAACAGTTGAAAACAAAAACCCCCATACTGTTGTGAGATCAGATTTCCCTCCAACCGGATTTCATGCAATAAATTGGGAATAAGTACCAAACCTTATGAATTATGATTTCAGTGAATAGAAGCCAAGCCTTACTGTAAAGAGTATGTATGTGACATTCAAGGTGTTAAACTCAGATATTCCAATATCAGCACAGAACTGATGATGGTAAAAGGGCTGGAAGTTGGGATATGATCAGAACAACGGCACAGGATAACCGCCATCATGGCATCTAACTGAGGAAAGGAGTAGACCATTGAAGAACCAATTGGTCCCAGATAACTGCCATTCATAGTATTGGATTGTGGGAAATAACATCATTGAGCATGTCTGTCTGGATCAAAGAGGCTGCTAAGCACTGACCATTCAGCAGAATGGCCTCAATAAATGCACTGATGTTATTTCATTAAGGATTATCATAACAGGAAGAATTGGCATTGCAGATGGAAAGTAGGAAAGGATTCAACAGTGGACAGAGCCGTGCTGTTGTGGATTTTGGGGATTGTCAGTGTTCCAGTTGAATTGGAGTGATCACAGTCTGGGAGGGGTCTGCAGCAGAGGGAGGATCCGAATCAGTCAGGCTGGTTCATGAACTCATCATTCTCACTGGAAACTGAGTGCAGAGTTGTATGTCATCTGCCATATCTGAGGGGTATTAGGGCTGAGGGCTTTTCACAATTTTTTTTCTCTCAGAGGCCATGGGCATTTCTGGCGGGGTCAATATTTATTGCCCCTTGAGAAGGTGGGTGTGAGCTGCCGTCTTGACTCACTGCAGTCCATGTGCTGTAGGTTTACCCACAATGCCCTTAGGGAGGGAATTCCAGGATTTTCACCCAGCGACAGTGAAGGAACGGCGATACTTTTCCAAGTCAGAATGGTGAGTGGCTTGAAGGGAAATAAGCACGGTGTGGTGTTTCATAGTTCTGCTGCCCTTGTCCTTTACATGGAAGTGTTTGTGGGTTTGGAAGGTGCTGTCTAAGGATCTTTGGTGAATTCCTGCAATGCATCTTATAGATGGTACACACTGCTGCTACTGAGCGTTGGTGGTGGAGGGAATGGATGCTTGTAGATGTGGTGCCAATCAAGCAAGCTGCTTTATCCTGGATGGTGTCAAGCTTCTTAAGTGTTGTTGGGGCTGCACCCATCCAGGCAAGTGGGGAGTAATCCATTGCACTCCTGGCTTGTGCCTTCTCGATGATGGATAGGCTTTGAGGAGACCGGAGATGCATTTCTCACTGCAGCATTCCTAGCCTTTGATCTACTCTCGTGGACACTATTTATATGGCTCATCCAGTTGAGTTGTGGTTAATGGTAACCCTCAGGATGTTGACAGTGACAGTAAGGCCATAAAAGGGTCAAGGGAAGGCGCGATTGTTACTTGCCATTTCTCAGCCAAAGCCTGAATATTGTACAGATCTTGTTGCATTTGAATATGGAATCCTTCAGTATCTGAGGAGTGGCGAATCTTGCTGAACGTTGTGCAATTGTCAGCAAACATCCTCAATGCTGACCTTATGGTGGAAGGAAATTAAAGTAATTCAACGGTAATGACTAAATGAATTGAGTACAATTTAGACAGAAATGTAAGATTTTGCAAGTGGAATTTTGGTTTTATTTAAATACATCATGCTGCCTGGTGTCCATTTTGGGTGAGTGTCAGTGTTAAATCAGGGTGAGATTTAAATTGGATAAACCAATCCAAGTGTTGTATCATTTAGACCAGCTGAGACGTATTGTATCAGGGCATCAGGAGGTTTATTTTAACAAACAAATTTGTGGTTGAGCCAAATACTGCATCTGTGTGATAGTGTTCTTAATGAAATTCTAAACTCCAAGGACCATTATAAGGAAGGGAATGAGAACAGGAGCCGTTACAATATATTCATCCCTTTTTGGGCAAGGATACCCTCTGTGATAAAAAAAAGCAATCCTACAGGGCTGCTATACTTCAAAGGGCAGTGCCATGGGGAGAGGCCAAAAAAATATAGAAAATCATTATACAGTACCATTTAAAGACCACAAAAATGGAAAGCAAAAACTGGTTTGGCACACCATTGACATTTTGTTAGAGCTCCAGTTATTTGAAGAAAGAATCAGTCTTACTTTATGCATCAGCAGATAACTGATAATGTTTGAGCATAGTCATTTGTGATCACTGGACACACATTGCATCTCAGATCCAATTTGACCAGGACATGTGGCAATCTCCGGATACATTTTCTGTTTGGGCAGGTCAACTGTGCCCATCGGTGGGGTTTTCCCAAGAGGGTCATGTCTGGATGGTGATTGGTGGTTCCTGATATCCATCAAAGCCCCCTCCCCCATCTGGCCCATCTGAGCCAGAGTTTAATCCAATCACATCTCATCACCTGAATTTCTGAAGAAGAGTCCTGACCCGAAATGTCAGCTTTCCTGCTCCTCTAATGCTGCCTGGCCTGCTGTATTCATCCAGCTCCACACTGTGTTATCATCACCTAATCCAGGACTGAACCTCTTTGAGAATGAAACCAGATGCAAACAATTGGGGTATCAGAGAAACAGTCGCAGCAAAAAAAAACAAATTTTGTCAGATGATGGAAAAGTGCTTCACTAAAGGTAATGGTTTTTAATCACTTCATTCCTGTCCCATTGTAGATATTTTATGAGCAACCTGTTCGAGGGACACTGGGACATGAACTCAGAGTTTGTTGATCCAGAGGTAGGGACACTGCCATTTACAAATGACCAGCTCTTGTGGGGTATGTTGAGGATCTGTCACTACAAAAACAATTGCATCATCAAGCCTTATTTCCCAAACCTATCTGTATTCCAAATTTCTGATTGGCTCTGGGTTTTAGCCCATCCCAACATTTTCCTTTCCCTTTTCATTGGTAACTGGATTGATGGGAGATTCCTGATTGGCTGTCAGGGATTGTCAATCATTGTTACTAATGTCCTGCCCTGTTTGGGCCTAGGATGGCCCAGGAGTATAAACACAAGAGCTTGTAGTATGGAGGCTTAGTTCCAGAGTTGTCTGGGTGATAGTGAGTTGGAATAGTGAAGATGGTTTCCCAAGTGTGTCAGAACTACTACAAGGACTGTGAGGATGCTGTTAACAAGCAGATCAACCTGGAGCTCTATTCCTCCTATGTTTACCTCTCTATGGTGAGCCTAGTGTTCTCTGGGTTTATTTCAGATTTAAAGCTTCACCCAGATTGTATTGAGGGTGTAGGATTTCTCAGCATAATTTGATTCATGTTTAATTAATGTTTTGGTGTAGCCCCTCCCTCACCTGGAGTAGTGAATACTTTCTTGGATGGTTTGATTCTACAACCTTCTCAATGCTTTCTTATTTTCTTGATGTGATCTGAAAATAACTTTTTGCTTTGGTAATGTATTAGGATTAACTGCCTTGAACAGATAATATCATCAGCTTGATCAAGACATTGACCTACCTCTAAGATCATGTGGTGCATGAATCTAGGTCTCCTCCAGTGCTAGGAGCACTATTGTTACCCTGAGCCCCAATAGAGTCCTAATGGCTTTGAAAGCTGTATGAATTAACTTCCTTGTCTCAAACTGAATTCAGAGCTGGGAATCCTGTTCTGTGTTGGAAGATTTCCTCACTGAGATGGAGTCTTTTGCCCTTGCCCATCTCACAATGAGAGGTTTCCCTAATGCTTATACTTTTAACTTTAGTGTGAAGTGTTAATGATCCAACTTGTAAGAAGATTTTAGCTTCCCTCTTCCTTCATAAGGGAAGAATGTTAACCTGCAGACTAGCAAGTGAAGTTAAATCATGTGGGATTTGGGGTAAGCTTGACAGTAGGAAATGCATACCCACTTTGGGTACTAGTGGCTTGTGACTAATGACATTCTGCAGGGCTTGGTACTATGTCCACTTTTGTTTATCACTCTTCTATAAATTTCTTGAGTAAGAGGGAGGCATGTCTACTAAGCTTGTGGGTGATGGGTAGTGAAGAATTTCAACATTTTGAAGAGATCATGCCCAATTCTGCCAATGGGCTGAGTGGTGGTTGGAGTATATGCCTCACTTATTGTGGTTTTTCAAAAACCTACCAGGACAGGACTTGCACAATGGTAGGGCCCTGTGGTGTTGCAGAACAGACCTAAGGATTCAGGTGCATGATTCTTTGAAAGCTATCACAGGGAAATGGGATGGTTGTGGAGATGTTTGACTATAGTAGTTGGGAATGTCATGTTGAGTTTCAACAGGATGTTGATGAGGCTCCATCTGGAGTACTGTCTGGTTCTGGGTGTGCAACAATAGGAATCCTTAATTTGGACAAGTTCAGAAGTGGCTTGGCAGGATGTTACCAGGACTGGAGGGTTTGAGTTTAGAGAAGCTGGATACGCTGGGACCTTCTCACTCCCACATGAGATTGTGGGGTAACCTTGTAGAGGTTCAGAAAATCAGTGGGCATGGGTAGAGTGAATGGCCCCAGTGTTTTTCTCTAGTATAAGAATTCAAAACTAGGGGGGGTGGCCTATCCTTAAGGAGAAGGAAAAGTTGTGCAAGGGGCCTGAAGGAGGTTAGTATGGGAATGAACTGCCAGAGGAAGCAGTAGATGCAAGCACAGTTAAATGTGCCAAAGCCATTGGAACAAGTGTACAGCTAAAGGTTTAGCAGGACATGGGCCAAACAGTGAAGTAGGACTAGTTTAGGGTGAAATTAGCCAGCACAGTCAAGTTGGATTGAAGGGTCTGATTCCATGTTATGTCTCTATCTAGGGAAGGTTTTTGCTATGCCTTCAAAGGGTGACTTTTCTCCTTCAAGTATACAAGTAACTTGTCAGCAGCAATGTTTTTGTCTCCACAGTTCTCTTACTTTGACCGGGATGATGTTGCCCTGCGTCACTTTGCTGAGTTCTTCAAGAAGGAGTCCCATGAGGAATGGGAACACGCTGAGAAACTGATGGCATTCCAGAATAAACGTGGAGGCCGTGTTCTCCTGCAGGCCATCAAGGTTGGTTTAGTGTCTATCTTGCTAGATTGGGAGTAATGGTGCTAGATATGGATTTGAAGCAGTTAATTCTGTTGGTTTAGTAATAATGCTATTTGCCACATTAATTCACTTTTTAATGGATAAAGTGACTTGAGCATCTGCCTCTTTCCTCAGAAGCCAGAGCAGGATGAGTGGGGCAATGGTCTGGAGGCAATGCAGAGAGCTCTGCAGATGGAGAAGGATGTGAACCAGAGTCTGCTGGATCTGCACAAGCTGGCCTCTGATCACATTGACCCTCACGTGAGTTTCTCAGCTTTTTAAGAAGCTTTCATGCTTGAAAGCAAGGCAGACATCCTTTTTACAGCAATACAAAACCAGGAATTACAGGATGGATAAATTATTCCATGAACTTGGAAGCAAATGATCTTTCTGTGTACACAAATCTTGTTTCTTCTGACAGCCTCCTGCAGTCTGTTAAAACTGTAACAGCATCACCTGTGTACCTCTCCCTCAATGTTGTGGTGTGATGGTCCTATCTGAAATGAAGGATCACTTTTTTCAAATGGCTTTTTGATGATCCTGTAGACTAATTTTGACTTTGTTCCTCCAGCTGTGTGACTTCCTGGAGAGGCACTACTTGGATGAGCAAGTGAAGATGATCAAGAAGCTGGGAGATCACATCACCAACCTGAAGAGACTGGGAGCCCCTGACAATGGCATGGGAGAGTACCTGTTTGACAAGCTCACGCTGAGCTGAGTGGGGTCAATAAATTCTATTTGTGCATCGTGACTTCATTCTAGTGAGTGACTTTGGTTGTGCTCTGAACAGAATTAAAATAGTGTTCACCATGGAACTGAGTGCTTTGTGTGATTTCATGTCTTTTGGAGGTTCTGGCTGCTTAACATCTGATTCTATTTGGTCCTTAAGCTTTTGTACTTCAGCTTGATGCAATAATTGCCCATTTAAGTTGCTGATTTTTGAATCCACTGTCTGTAGGGATTTTTGAACGAAGTAATTCTAGTTGTGGAATTTCCACAACTGTTTCAGCTTTTTGACTTGGAACCAATGCTCATTCAGCTGATGATGGGTTTTGCCTTGTGCTGACTGGACTGATTTGAAGAACTGCCTCAGTCAATGAACAAATCAGTCCACTGAATGTTAAGCATCTGACTGGTGCACTGTCCCTAGCCATGTTTCAATTTGAAGGATTCAAAGGAACTATGAATGCTGGGAAAGGTCATACAAGTCTGGCAGCATTTGGGGTAATACATTCTGAATGGTCATGAGCTGAAATATGAACTGCTTTGTCTCCACAGATGCTGCTTGACTTGGGTTTCTCCAGCAAATTGTTTGTCAATGGTTAACTTCTACTGCCTCCATTAGATCAGTTAAAATTGTCCCTACAGGAATATGAAGGTTGTTATTATCATACTTGCAAGTCACCATATTGTTATACAGAAGCAGTCAATCAAGTATTGCTTATCCAGTAGCTTCCACAGTAGGGAATTTTGTTTCTCTAGCAGCAGACTTTCTTGCTGGAGAATAAAGTCAGCTTTGGTTTTTTCAGCCCATTAAAAAGAATAAGGGGCAAAATTAACTCCATGCCTGCTCTACTAGCATCTGAAAGCTGCACTTATCACTTTCAACAGCTTGAATTGAATGCAATGTGGTGCAGCTGTGTGAAAGACACTTCCCAAGTAAAACTCCCATATCAAGGGAGAAGTACAAATTACATAATGGCATATTAAGTTGGGTATTATCACAATTACATTTAAAGCCAACTGTGCTGTAAATTTGCCATGATGGGTCAAATGTTCTGATTAAATCTCCCAGTGTCTAAAATGATGAGTTGAGTTGGTTTAGAGATTTGACCAAGCTATCAGGTGTAGCTCTTATCCTGGTATTGGACCTAGTGCTCTCAGGCATAGGCAGTAGGGATTTGTTTCATTAATCACCATGCCAGAAGAAGCATTTCCAATCATACAGCTTGAGCTCCATGTAGAATCAAATTTTTTTTTGTATTGGTGAGCAGACAATATTGGCTTCAGTTGGAGGACAAATGCCACAATGATTCCTTGATTTTTAGATTGGTGAGGGAAGAGAAATAATGATCTTATCCATGCATTGGGGAATGGGGTGGGTGGGGGTGGTGGAAGAGAGGATAAAGAGTTGTCAGACAAAGCCAGGATCACAGGAAGTAGTCCAGAATCTTGACAGCCTCTGAATCAGAGCAACCCACTTGATTGGCACAACAGCCACAAGCATGCACTCCTTCCACCACTGACACAGCACCTGCAATGTGTACCAGTGACAAAATGCTGTTAAACTTTACCAAAGCTCTTTAGATGACCCCTTCCAAACCCCCAAGGACAAGGGTAGCAGATACAGAGGAACACCACTTCCTCTAAGTTCTGTTCCAAGCCACTCCCCATCCTGAGTTGGAAAAATAGCCCCATTCCTCCACTGTTGGTGGATCAGAATCCTGGAATTCCCTCCCTAACAGCAGTGTGGATCTGTCTATGCCAAATGGGCAATGGCAAGTCAGCACATTCTCTAATGTAATGTTAGCCCTGATCGCAAAAGGGTTCAAATTTGTTACGGATGGAGGTTCTTTAGTGAAATTGTCAAATTCTGGCTCAACCACATTTGGAGTGCACACTTCTTGTACATTGGACCCAAAGATAGTTATGCATTGAATTTTCAGAATACACTTGGATAGAGAGCTGTTTTATTGATAACAGTTTGTCCAAGTCCCCCTGTGTAGAAGGGTAAGGGATGGCTGTAGTTGAAATTTTTAAGAGGATTAATGGATTTGACAGGGTAGATAGAGAACCTGTTTTTTTTTTTTTTTTTTCCTCCATGGTCATCTAGGACTGAGAATAGGATTATAATCTTCACATAAGAACTAAATCATCCAGCATAATGTCAAAATTACCTCCTTCATGGAAAAGATAGTAGAAGCATATACATGCACTGTCACACATACTTAGGACAAATTGAAAATTTCTAAACTTGGACGGTTAGATTTTTTTATTAGGTAAGGTTTGATGTTAGCAATCACCTTCCAATTTCAACGAAAAAAGTAATGCATGTTGGTAGAAGAAACACGGAAAGACAAAACAAGCTCGATGTTAAAAATCTGAGGTGAGTACAGGAGCAGAGGGAATTTGGGGTCAAATGTGATTATGTCAAAGTGGCTGGGCAAGATGAAACTGCTATTAAGAAGGCTTATGTGACCCTTATGTTTTCAAATAGAGGCATAGTGTATAAAAGCAAGGAATTGATTCTACACCTCTACAAATCATTGGTTAGACCACATTTGCAATAGTGTGTTCAGTTCTGGGCATACCATTGAAGGAATGACATTAAAGCTCTGGACAGAGTTCAAAGAAGACTTATTAGAATGATACCAGGAATGAGGAATCTTAGATACAAGGCAAGATTAAAGAAATTGGGCTTATTCTCCTTGGAGTAGAGATGATTAAGAGGTGACCTTATCAAAGGCATCAAAATTAGGAACAATTCTGTCAGGGTAAAGGAGGATATTCTGTTTTCACCAGCTGATATGTCAGTGACTAGGGGTCACAATTTGTCAGTAAGGGAGCTCAGAATGAGATGAGGAGAAACCTCTTTACTCAGAGTTTTTAGGATTTGGAATGTGACGCCTGGGAGAGAGGTGGGGGCGGATTCCTTAGGTGGCTTCAAAAAAAGAGCTGGATATATACTTGGAAGTGATGAATTTAGAGAGCTACAGAAATAGGGCTGGAGGTTGGGACTAGTTGGTAGCTCTTTCTGCAGCTGATACAGACACAATGGGCCAAATAGCCTCCTGTTGTTACAAATTCTCTGAAAGTCCACCCAGCAAATTCTGAGAATATGGGGAGGGGGTTTGAATTCCTGTGGGTGGATTGGTTGTTTTCTAAATCAGTCTGTCAGAGATGTTATAAGGCCTCTGGATCTGGTAGGAACTTGTACCAAGGCCTCCTGGTCCAGAGGTTGGGACATTAACCCTGCACCACGAGACCCTGGCTACACTGGTTGTACAAACATAGAACCATACAAAAAAATTGTTGGAGTAGGCCATTCAGCCCTTCCAGCCTGCTCGGCCATTCCATGTGATTGTGGCTGATCCCCTAACTCAGTCCCATCCTCCCACTCTCTCTCCATACCCTTTGATCCCTTTAGACCTCAGAGCTATATCGAACTCCTTCTTGAAAACATCCAATGTTTTAGCCTCAACCGTTTTCTGTGGTGGAGAATTCCACAGGCTCCCCACTCTCTGGGTGAAGAGATTTCTCCTCATCTCAGTCCTAAATGGCCTAGCCAGTATCCTTAGACTGTGAACGCTGGTCCTGGACTCCCCCATCATTGGGAACATCCTTCCTGTCTTTGCCCCATCTGATCCTGTTACAATTTTCTATGACCCAGAGCCAATTTCCCAGCTTACTCTCCCAAATCCCAGCACAACAGGCTGAGAAACTGACACCCCTTCCTCACTGAGCTCCACATGCACTTGGTCACAACCACCTTAATTTAAAAAGAAAACGTTAAAGCTTTACCCAAAAAAAATCCATTAATTTTAGAAAGAAACCAAATGAACCATGACCTGATTGAGTGGTCCAGCAGGTTTGAGATGCTGAATGACCTCCTGCTGTTCCAATCACAATAACCATCCAGACCTGACTATAATCTACACCTCTGATCAGCTCTGCTTAACACACCCACCCCCTCTCTCTAATTGGTGCCTGTATGCATGGGTGGTTCCTGACTGGCTAGCAGGAACCGTCAATCATCATCAGTTCTGCCTCTCCCTGGGTGACTGCAGGATGGTCCCAGGAATGTAAATACAAGAGCTTTTGGGAAAGAGGCTCAGTTCTAGAGTTGTCTAGGTGATAGTGGGCAAAAGTGGTGAAGATGGTGTTGCAAGTGCGTCAGAACTACCACAAGGACTGTGAGGATGCTGTTAACAAGCAGATCAACCTGGAGCTCTATTCCTCCTATGTTTACCTCTTCACGGTGAGCCTTGTGGATTTGTTTTGGAATTAAAGCTGTGGCTCCATTATATTAAGGATGTGGGATTTCTCTGCTTTAGTCTTTTCATGTTTATGAATGTATTTGTGCTGTCATTCTGTGATGTAGAGAAGTGAATTTCTTTTTAAAGTCTAATCTTACAAAAATTTTCCTGACAGACTGGTGTCCTTGATGTGTGACTTGAAAATAGTCTGCTTCCTGAATGTAACACAACCCGCTGCCTTGAATAAATAATTTTAATCAATCTGTCCAGAGATATTGTGTCCTGCCTCTGGAGCAAGTCTTTTAGGACCTAAATGTGGCCTCCTATCCCAGAGGTAGGGATATTACCACTACCCTGAGCCCTCATTGTTCCCACGCTTCATTCAATAACTTTCTCAATTAAATTCAATACAGAGATGAGAATCCTGTCCTGTGTTGGAAGGATTGCTCACTGAAGTGAAGTCTTTTTCCCTTGTACATATGACTCTTTGGAACAATGAATATAATTTTTAACATTTAACTCCAAATATTCAACATTAAATATTGATGACCCAACTAGTATGAAGATAATCCCATCCCTTTCAGAAAGAAGGAACCTCCACCTGTTCAGTTCAGGTTTTTAGTGATTTGCAAGGGATGTGTTGTTCCCTTCATGGAACTGCAGCCTGTATAATTGGAAAAAGCCCTGCTGAGAAATGTTCCAAATTCAAATGGAAGCAATGACTTTTTCCCTTTTTGGCTGTTTTGCAGTTCTCTTACTTTGACCGGGATGATGTTACCCTGCGTCACTTTGCTGAGTTCTTCAATGAGCAGTCCCATGAGGAATGGGAACACACTGAG